ACACAGCGAGAGAGAGAGAGAGAGGACCTGAAAGTTCCTCTTGTGCTCGTCAAGCAAACTCTTCATGTGATTAACCACCTGGTGCACCATCTCCCTCTTCCCAAGCGTCAAGCAAGCAGTCAAAAACCTCCCATAGCACCTCAACTGCTTGTTAGCCACGCTCAAATCACTCGCAGAATTCTCCTTGAAATACTCTCTCTCTAAGATCGCCTGATAAAACCTGCAACTCTCGCACAAAAGATTCATCTCACTTGTTCTCATATACTGTGTAAAATAAATCTGAGCAATTCTTGAAGCGATCTCACCAATCTCCCATCTCTTGACGCCATCTTCAATGAGCTTTTGTCTGTGATCTTGCTGATATTTCCAAAGCTTGGTGTAAATTTTGAAGACCTTTTTGAAGGAGGAAGCATGGTTGATTTTGCCATATAGAGGGAGGTTTGCGGACTTGGCGAACTTCCTGTCTGCTTTGTTACACATGGACCAAAAGACCTCGCATTCTGGTAATTCAAAAGCCATGGGAGGAAGATGACGATGATGAAGCCCTAAACCCTAATTCCAGACAAATGGCGGAGGTTACAGGACAAGATAAAGCAAGAAGCCTAGCCGTAAAGTAGAGATAGAGAGAGAATCAATTTTCCGGCAATTTTCCGGTTCGCATTTGAAGCATGATTAAAGTGGAACTCATAGAGAGAGTGAGAGAGAGGGAGAGTGCCACTGGTACACTGTTGTAACGCGGTTCCAAGCGTATTCCATAATTTCCGCAGGGTGCTTCGCACTCCCGCGGGAGCAAGTTAATGAAATTTCAATCGGAAACGGCCCGCGAATTGTAAAACAAAAAACAGAAATTTATCTTATTCCAACCCGGATTTTAAATCCGTAAGTGTGGGGTACAACACGAAATTTGATATCTTTTTTTTTTTTTAACTTTGAGTCGAGACTTACTTACATTTATAGGCATCCCATTTGAAATCTGATGGACAAGAGCGTTCAGACCTCCTTATATTAAAAATAAACTATCTTTGTATATTGTTTAAAAAAAAATTATTTTATGTGGGCTAAACCGCATTTCTAAGTATCCATCTTAAAAATGGATGCAAATAGGTATTCCATTTAAAAACAATAGAAAGTACCAGTTCAAATATTTTTTTCGCTATAACTATTATTTCTCATTTTTTAAATTTGTCTACTTTTTCATATTCATGATCTTACCTATCTTTAAAAATTAAATATTAAAATCCATCTCAAAAATAGATTTATTAAGACCGTATTTCTACATATACAGGCCTAGCCGCATAAAAACCGGGTCTTTTACCAATCACTTGGATTCAACTCTACGGAGATTGGCTAGTTTAAGTTTAATCCTAAATAGCTTATATTTTTTCCAACAAAATTAAATCCTAAATAGCTTATATTTTTTCCAACAAAATAATTGTATTTCGGTTGATCAATAAGCTTAGAAATAAATCAGCCTAAATAAAACGTGTTACAATGAAAAAGAAATGCGGCAAGAGAACATCGAAAAATCCCACCACTTAAGCTCTAGGCACCAATAAAGAATGCAGGGAACTTACCCAACCCAATAGCCCATTAGGCCCCCTATGGACATGGTCAAAGGAAACGTTCAACCTCCCATAAACGTCATGTATATAAGAGCAAATCATTCTCAAATTTCACAGAATTCTTAGCCCCTTCTAGCACCACCTAATGTATTGAGAGAGTCACCTTTAGCACAAACAACATTACCAATTATGTCATGCTCAAATATCCTCTTACCCTATAAAACAGCCCTAAGCTTCACCTCATTAGCAGTTGCAACATCACAAGGTTCTTGAGAATCGTGTCCTCATAATGCCTAAATGGTTTCCGGTCAAAATATCGATCTTTGCATCACCTCAAATACCAAAGGAACTACCATCAAAATTAATATTAAGAAAACTTTGTGAGGGAAGCGACCATAGGCCATTCATCCATCTTTTAATAGAGCCCGAATTCATCAAAACTTTTTAGTTACACAATAAATCAGAGCAAAGGACACCAAAACAATCCTTATTGCACTTCACCCTTTCAACAACTCTATCAAGGACTCTTAGTCTAGTACTTTCAATGTCAAGGACCTTGCTTTCAAAAGTTGGTTGGTTCCTCTCTTTCCAAATTTCCTAAAACAATATTTTCAAGCTATTCTTGAAAGATAAGGTAAGTATGGACCGCATTTTTTTACATTGTCCTTTCCCTCTAAGCTTATGGGATTGGTGTAGAAAGTTGTTGAATATAAATATTTGGCTTCCTCAAAGCTTGGAGTTGTTTATCTCTCAGTGGATGTACCATGGTTTGCCGAAAATGGCAACATGCAATGGAGATCACTATGGGCAAGCACTATGTGGAATGTTTGGAGGGAGAGAAATAGAATAACTTTGAAGGGACATAATATGAGATCAAAGTTTTAAAGTCCAATACTTAATAACATTAGCTTATTAGTTTTCAATAAACAAAGAGTGTAAGTTTATCCTCATGAAAATAATATAAAATTCAAATTTGATGGAAGCTCGATTGTAAACCCAAGCCCTGTAGGTTTTTGTGGCACTATTATAGATCATATGGGTAACTTCAAACTTACCTACTCGGGGACCGTGTGGACAGACTACCTACGGTGAACAAAGATAAGGCAAGAGCTCTTTTGGACGGCTTAAAGATAATAAAGAATCTTAAGAGCCAAAAGATGATTGAAGGTGATTCAAGAAATATCATTGTTTGGACAAAAAGAGAAATGAAGCCTCTTTGGAGATTGTGCAGCATTTTTTACAAAATCTTTTTCATTTTAAGTAGTGATTCTTTTGAGTTATCTCATTGTTTTAGGAAGGCTAATGGTGTGCACCAACTATTGTTGGTGGTTACATCATAACTTCCTTGTAATCATTTTATGTTGGTGGTTACATCATTTTCTTCTTGTAATCATTGTAAAAGTGAATGCAATTCATACTGACTGATTTTAAAAAAAATTAGGTAACAAAGAGTATTGCCTATTTTAGGATGCACCCTTCTAAATTTATCACGAAATAATCAATAGTAAGAGACTGAACCGAAAATCTACCATCTATATTCCTTTCCCAAATGGCCTGGTCTTCCCTGAATGGGCAGTAATAAACCTGATGGAACTTTTGAATCAAAGAATGTAACTCATAAGTAATCTGACAGTCTATATTACATATGAGAACCATATTTCGTGCTGTATTTTTATGCAATACTAATTCTAGGGTGTGATGGTAAAAGATTGTAACTTTAAACAATCAATCAAAGCCGCACCTCCAAATTTTATTATAAGATGCAATTTTATTATAAGATGTAATTTTGGTGTAAAACATTCTTTGAATGGCTTGAGAATCTATTTTTATCTCTAATTATAAAATTTTAAACTTCAAAAATGGTTTAAATCAATTAGATCTATAAATACAAGAAAATATTGAAAATGGGCGGTCCAACTAATTGGTTGCAAGATGCATTATTTTTGGGACTCAAAAGTTTTTTATGTTTTTATACTTATATATCTCGATGTCGAGATGATCAATTAAAAGGTTTTCCAGCATCAAAATATTTTATCCAATGGTTGATTCTACATTTTAAAGTTGCAAATTTATATAATGTTTTTCTTTAATTCTAAGGTGCGCATTAACTTCTTTTCTTTCTTTGTTTTTTTTTTTTCTCTGCTAGGTTGAGTATGCAACATCCTCCATAACATACACCTAATTAGATTTGTCTGATGAGCAAGTGCACAATTTCCTCTAGATAGGTTTGCACTAGGGGTGGCAACAGGTCAGTGGTTCGAGTCTAGCCGGAGCCGATTGGATCCAGACCCGAACCCACCTAGGGGTGGCAATGGACCTGGACCCGACCTAGGACCCAATAGGTAGACCCGATCCAGGTCTGGATATGGGTTCAAAAATTGGACCCGGCAGATTGGGTTCGAGTCCAAATCTTGGACTTGAACATTATTTGAGTTCGGGTCTAGGTCTAGTTAGATTCGGGTTCAAGTCCAGTAAATTTTTTTGGGTTCCAATGTACTAAATATATTTAAATATAGTTACATACATAAATATCTAAATTTTTTAGTTGGGTCCGGTCGGGTCCAGTTCTAGGCCTAGGTCCGGATCCCATCTCATTTTTCTTGGTCCGGACCCGGCCCGTTGCGACCCTTACCTTCCCGCCCCTCTCCTTCTATCTCCCCCATGCCTCCCTATTTTTTATCTTATTACTTTTCCCTCATATATCCTAGTTAAAATTCCTATCTCTCAACGGAAATGATATCCCATGATCTCTCCTTTCACTCTTTTCTTTGGACTTGACACCTCTCGCCGCAACCTAATAAATAAATAAAATTACATAAATTCCCTTTCTTTCACTAAATGGCTCTCCCCCATCCACCCGAAATTTTAAACCAAAAAAGTGGTAGAGATCTTGCATATCTATGAACATTTATTTTTAGGGGAAAATGAATGGTATAGATAATGTAGTATAGGATTTAAGAACTTTCTTAGACGTTGAAACAATAATTCCAAAAAGTTGGATCCCATCAAGATTATGTACTTAATCAGCTAGAAACAAAATAGGCGAGAGCACCAATATAAATGAATCATAAATACATATGCTATAAGAATACAAATATTTATATGGTTTAATGGCGACATTCACGAGCATAGCTAACTGAAATCCACTATACCAATGAAAATTGCATCATAGATTTTGAGACATAAAATTACATCTTTATGTTGTGCGTAGAAGCTCTAAACCTGATGGGTTGATTTTTAGCAAATCAAGTTCGAGAAATAAAACATAAAATACATACCACAAGAACACAAAGATTTACATAGTTCACCCCAAATGGGCTACATCCACGGGCACGGCAAATTGAAATCCATTATACTAATAAAAGTTACATCAAATATTTTGGAATAAATCTCGACAAAAAACCTCTTAACTAAAAGAGGAAATAACTCAAAATCTCTATGGGAGCTACTTCTCTACAAAAAAACAAACCTCTTGAACTTTAGGCATATTCAAGAGGTACAAATGTTTCATTACACAGGAAGCTATATTCTCTAAAAATAAATTACATATTATGCACATGAGGCTTTGTCTCCCTCTCTTTAGAGGAACCACTATTTCCATATGGTGACCCAAATGAGGCACACACAATCTCTGCAGTTTCTTCCCATATATATAAGGTTAGAAATCCATACTAAATAGGAAACTTCATATAAATGTTACATATATCTCAAAAGACCAAGATATATATCCACGAGTCCTAATCCCTTTGGGTTTCTATTTTCTTTAGGAAACCATATAAATATCAATCTCAATTTCACATAATATGGGATTTTATTATGTGGGTGATTTTGGATAGCACAAAATCCAAAACTTTAACCCTCGACAATAGTCGAACAAACTTTTTTAGAATCGATTTCCCCATTTGTAAAACCCGCCGATCTCCTATCTCTATTTCACAACTAAACCAATGTCTAGGAAGAGATCAATCTTTATTTCATAGCTAAACCATTGTCCATGAGTATATTCATATATATTCCATAGGTAAACCACTATCCAAAAAGATGACCTTGATATCAACCGAGACTTTATCGGAAGATATCCATCTCTATTCCACAACCACTATCTAGGAAGATAACCATGATACCAATTGAATCACCGTCCATGAAGATATCCATTTCTATTCCACATGTAAACCATTGTCCAAGAAGATAACATTGAGATCAATCGATACATTCTCTCACTAAAAAGGGAAATCACCCAAAATT